TGTAATTTATTTCTGTGATGCAGCGCTGTATTTTCAGCATCATTACTCCAGTCTTCAGTGTCACATGATCTTCAGAAATCATTCTAATATGCTGATTTGCTGCTCGAGAAATATTTCTGATTATTATCAATGTTGAAAACAGTCGTGCTGCACAATATTTTTGTGGAAACTGATACATTTTATTTTTCAGGATTCACAGATGAATAGAAAGTTCAGAAGAACAGCATTTATTAGAAATAGAAATCTGCTGTAATATTATAAATGTCTTTACTGTCACTTTTGATCAGTTTAATGCGTCCTTGATTAATATAAGTATTAATTTCTTTAAAAAAAAAAAAATTTTTTTTTTTACTGACCCCAAACTTTTGAACGGTAGTGTATAAAGTTACAAAAGATTTCTATTTCAAATAAATACTGTTCTTTTGAACTTTCTATTCATCGCAGAATCCTCGAAATGTATCACAGTTTCCAAAAAATATTAGGCAGCATAACGGTTTCCAACATTGATAATAAATCGGCATATTAGAATTCATATGCAGAATTAATATAAAATTCAGCTTTGCATCACAGCATTCTATTAGATATAAAGTTACTAACAGGTATGCAGTTACTCATTTTGAATACTCCAAATTCATTAACATTAGAATGATGTTATGAACAAACACACGTTGTGAATCATGCAGAAATATTTGTGTGAGAAGTTCTGCTGTGTGTGTATAGATATGAATAATTCACATAACTATTAATGAATGAGACCCAGTGTTCACAGAAGGTTTAAACAGACTGATTGTATGTAAATGAGCTCTGATATGATTGGCTCAGCTCATCATGATGCTGCTGAATATTTAAGTAGGTGCTGATATGTAAATGTGAGGGTCTTATGTTAATGAGCTTGTGGGTGTGTTTTTCAGCTTAGCTTCAGTACACATGTTGTTCTGATGATCATATTGTACATCAACGGTCTGTCACGCTGCACTTATCAATCCATTCACTTCTATTTGTGCACATTTGAATGGAAACACAAGCTCATGTGACAATTCACATTTCACTTCTTTCCGAAGATTAAGTTTGTTGAATCTGAGCTGTGAATTCATATCACATGAAGCCGTGTGACCAATAGAAGATCAGTGCATCATGTTGTAGAATTAAATGAACATTTAACATTAAAAGAATGTTTTAAAGGTATCTGGTGGTGGTGGAGACCTGCATGTCTCTGGCGTCGCAGGTGGTCAAACTCACCAAACAGCTGCAGGAGTAAGAGCCTTCATTCAGCTGACGTGTTTGACTCGTGCGAGCGCTGACTGACGTGAGCCTGTGTTTCTGACTTTCACAGACAAACCACGGCGCGAGTCGCTCTACAGAACCAGCTTCAGCTGCTGCCGCAGACCCACGAGCTCAAAGACAGACCGCCGTCACCCAGGTCTGATCATCAGACGCTTCCTCAGGTCCCTGAGTAATGCCTGACACACAGCAGGAGGGGCAAAATTTGGATGAATGAATCAAAAGTAGGGCTGTACATTTAACCAGATGGCAATATGCGCTAGTGTGTGAATATTCAACTGCAAATAGATTGATATTTAAATCTGTGCATGTCTCTAAGAGTCACTTCAGCAGCATTACATCATTTCATTTCAGAAAATTATGGTCAGAAACACACAGAAACTCAAAAGATCTTCACGACAATCCGGCAAAATAAAAGTTTGGTTTAACTTGAAGAAATTGTGACAGATATATATTACTATTGCTCAGTAGAATGTACTTAGTAACAACAAAAATGTTGATATTAATAATAATAATGCAACTTATTAAAACACACTGAAACTCAAAGGTCTTCACAACAACCCACCAAAATAAAAGTCTGGTTTAACTTGAAGAAATTGTGACAGATATATATTACTATTGCTCAGTAGAATGTACTTAGTAACAACAAAAATGTTGATATTAATAATAATAATGCAACTTATTAAAACACACAGAAACTCAAAGGTCATCATAACAACCCACCAAAATAAAAGTCTGGTTTAACTTGAAGAAATTGACAGAAATATATAATGTTTGTAAAATGCAAGTAATAATAACAATAATGATGATAATATTATTATTTTGGTAAGGAATATCACACCATTTTTTAATCATGTTTTAATTTAAACAGTTTGCCAATAAATTAAAAATGAGTTTTTTCAATTTAATTTGATTGCATTTTAGAAGATTAATTAAATTGTTATAGTTATATATGCTTTTTTTTTTGTTTACTGCCGTTTTTGATAAGTTTATATTAAATCATAAAACACAGAATCCAGAAAAAAACAAACATTATAAAAATAAAACACATTTCATAGGGCGCTATTATTGTTAACATATTAATAAATCAAAATACATTTAAATAAATTCAAAAGCTTTATGAATTCAACTGATTACACATACTTTTTGATGAAAATTTTATTAAAACATAATCCAGAAAAATGTAAACAGAAAACACAATTTCTGAAAAATAAAACGCATTTCATAGGGCACAATTATTGTTAAAATATTAATACATTAAGAACTTTTATGAATTCAGTTGATTTGATGTCCTTTTTCATTATTAAAATTAGCCATTAAAATGGAATCCAAAAAACAACAACAATTAAAACAAAAAACACAAAATTAGGGGAAAATAAAACATTTAATAAAGCACTATTGTTGTTAAAATTTTAATGAATTGTTAAATTGTTATTTTCATGAATTCAATTGGTTAGACATTCACATACACATATTGGGGAAAATAAAACATTTTATACGGCACTGTTATTGTTAAAATTGTAATAAATTATTAAATCGTTAAACCTCTTTATGAATTCAATTAATTAGACATCATTTCAGTTACTAAAATTTATTGAAACCACTAAAAGTCCAGAAAAATTACAATAGAAAATGTGGAATTTGGGAAAAATAGAACGCATTTCATAAAGTACTATTATTTTTAAAATTTGAATAAATTATTACATTTTAAAGATTTTATTATTTCAGTTGATTAGACATCTTTTTTAGTTATTAAAATTTAATGAAACTACTAAAAGTCCAGAAAAATTACAGTAAAAAATGTGGAATTTGGGAAAAATAGAACGCATTTCATAAGGTACTATTATTTAAAAAATTTGAATAAATTATTACATTTTAAAGGTTTTATTATTTCAGTTGATTAGACATCTTTTTTAGTTATTAAAATTTAATGAAACCACTAAAAGTCCAGAAAAATTACAGTAAAAAATGTGGAATTTGGGGAAAATAGAACGCATTTCATAAAGTAGTATTATTTTTAAAATTGGAATAAATTATTACATTTTAAAGGTTTTACTATTTCAGTTGATTAGACATCTTTTCCAGTCATTAAAATTTATTGAAACTACTAAAAGTCCAGAAAAATTACAGTAAAAAATGTGGAATTTGGGAAAAATAGAACGCATTTCATAAGGTACTATTATTTAAAAAATTTGAATAAATTATTACATTTTAAAGGTTTTATTATTTCAGTTGATTAGACATCTTTTCCAGTCATTAAAATTTATTGAAACTACTAAAAGTCCAGAAAAATTACAGTAAAAAATGTGGAATTTGGGAAAAATAGAACGCATTTCATAAAGTACTATTATTTAAAAAATTTGAATAAATTATTACATTTTAAAGGTTTTATTATTTCAGTTGATTAGACATCTTTTCCAGTTATTACAATTTTATGAAACCACTAAAAGTCCAGAAAAACAGAATTTGGGAAAAATCTAAACCCAGCATCAGGACCGTTTCCTCTGCGGATGTGTTTGTCTCACAGACGTTTCTCTCCGTCTCGTGCAGCTCTCGTGTCGAGTCGTGGCCTGAGATGACGCTGACGGCTGAAGCGGCTCCTGATAACATCCAGAGACACGTGGACTCGGACACAGTCCTGCGCAAGCTGCTGGGTAAAGAGCCGACGGATGTGGAGGCGGAGCCAGGGGCGGGGCCTGTAGCCGGACCAATGAGAAGGCTGGAGCCGGGCGAGAGGCGGGATCTCAAGCTGGCGCGTCTCAAGCAGATCATGCAGCGCTCGCTCAGCGAATCAGACGCGGAAGAGTCCAAACCGCCCCGACCCGAGAGGCCCACGCAGCTGCCCATCACAGAGCACGCCGCCAAGTTCTCCTTCACACACAGGACTTCCAAATCCGTGGACGTTTACAACCCGTCTCCGTCGCCAGACCACAGCGACCCCGAAGCCAAAACCGAGGTGACGGGAGAGCTCCCCGAAGGCCAGAAGGTCACCACGAGTCCCAAAAGCGCCCTGAAGTCGCCGTCCTCTCGCAGAAAGACCTCGCAGAACCTCAAACTGAGAGTCACGTTTGACGAGCCGCCGCGTAAAGACGGACCTTTCAAAGTCCAGCCCGGAAAAGACAAGCCGGAGTCGAGCAAGCGAGCGTTTGGGACGCTCCGCTCCATAATGGAAACCCTGAGCGGAAACCAGAACAGCAACAACAACAACGCTCCGAAACACGCCGGGACGTCCGGAAAGAAGAGCAAAAGCAAGACGAGCGCTGTTTAAATCAGCATGATGTTACACAACAACCATCTGCACAAGAAACTGGTGCGAATCCAGACTATTTAGAAACCAGGTGCTTGATTACATGAATCTTTCCCACACTATTTGCTTAATAACACACTTTCTTACATGCGAGTTTTGAAATATTCGTTTTGCAATACTGTGATTTTCTACAGGCCTAATAATCAAAACCAAGCAGAGAACGACGACCGTACAGCGAACGAACGAACGAATGAATCATGTTCTTTATTAAACGATTCGGTGCTGCACCTTTATTTCATAACTCAAATACGTTTATATGTCATCTGTATTGTTTTGAGTTAAAGTATGGATTTATAATGTTTGAATGCAAGAAACGTTATATTATTGGAATCATTGTAACGACATTTGGAGATTAAAATAAAGACATTTTCAGCTGATCTAATGCTATCAAACGAGGACAGAATCGTTCAGTTAATGAATCAAGAAAATATTCGACAGGGTTTCTGCAAAATGATGAAATGAAGTCTTGTTTTGAGAACCTGAACAAAATGAAGTGAGTTTATGATTAAAACAAGAACAAATATCTGCCAGTGGGGGATGAAAACTTTTGAATTAAGTAGATTTTTAGCTCATTTACTGATATTTGTCCTTGTTTTAATCATAAACTCGCTTCATTTTGATCAGTTTCTCAGAAAACAAGACGTCTTGTCATTTTTGCATTAAACAGAAACACTGTTCGATTATTTACACACACATCCGTCATGCATTAGTGCGCATTTTACTTTGATGCATGAAGAGGAGCGAAGCGAATCGTGGAATATTTGCTCAAATCTGAGCGAGAGAGAAAGAGAGAGAGAGAGTTTAAGGCTGTTGTGCAGCATGAAAATGGAGCAGACGAGCGCTTGATTTGACAGGAGGAGAGTCGTCTATAGATTTTTGTGTCCATTGTTTGGGCTTATTTGTGTGCTGCTTTACTCAGTCAATCAAATATAATTGACACCGCTGGGCTGCTGTTGTTTCTGGATGACAGCGGTTAATGCCGCCGGAAAACAGCTGCGGGAAACTTTCTCTGCTGAACGATGACAATCTCTCAGCCGTCAAGCACATTAATTGGTGCCGTGACCCAGATGAGGGATAATAATGCAATCAACCTTTAATTGTGCCGCTTCTGTTCCTGCTCCATCAGATGTGAGCTGCAAACACCATCGACACACTCATGTCCGTTCACATGAAATAATGCATTCAAAATCTGCATAATATTTTAACATTCAAAGATTTGTCATAACTTCATATTTTTCAGTTAAAACCATATTGATCAGCAACTTCTCATTAATGAGATAATGTGAATAATTAATTAATGTGAAAAATTCAGATTTGAATGTTACTATGTTAATTGCTGCATGCATTTACCTCTTTTTTATTAATTGAAAAATTGAGAAATTCCTTGAAATATCAAATTGCACACGATACACTATAATGCAAAAAATACATATTTTTTTCAATACTGATGAGAAATTTTGTTTGAATGTATAATCGTATGAGATTTATAAGAACATTAGAATTACCAGGATTAACCCCTTTGGAATAAATAGAATTTAATTAAATTCCTTTGAATTTATAACTCACGATTGTTAAAAAAAAAGCCCAAATTTATGAAACCTACATATTTATTTCTAAATATTACTCTGAAAGCTTTTCAAACAAAATAAATTAATTTTACTTTCATAAACTTCCACTTTCAGATGAAAAAGTGATGAATATTTCATGCTGCAATGGTTCATCAATAGATGTAATTATTCATGTTTATCACCCAAATTCTGTGAGATATGGGGAAAAGGTGACAAATATTGTACAAAAGTGTATTAACACTAATATAAGTTCATAGATAATTTGATTTAAAAAAAAGTATTTTTAACAGCTAATGGGATTTCATACACACCCAGGTCAAAAGTCGTGAAACGTAACTTTTTTAAAATTTTTAAATGGTTATATCTCTTAAGAAATAATTGTAAAAAATCTGAAAAAAATACATGATGTGTATTTTGAGGGTCTTAAATCAATTGCAAAGTTTTGTTCCCTTGCTAAAAATTACACGTTTTTTAGAAAATTGTTTTTTCTGTTGAAAACGACCTGCGTAATCCCTTCAGTCAGATCACCGTCTGTCAGTATATTCATGAACTTCGTGTGAATTAATGATGATGATGATGTTTGTGCTGCAGAGAGCCAGAAGAGGGAAGCAGAGCCGAGCAGAACCAGATCAAACTTGTCCAAGTGAGAATCATCAGCTTTGATTTCTGTCGAATTAATTACGCTTCAAAGTCTATTTTCAGTGAGAGGTTGTGGAAATGTGAAACCTCTGAGTCGTCTGAGACGCTCAGGATTCGAGTCCTGCCGTGACCTTTGACCCGCTGTCAGGCGTCCTGCCCACAGACACGGTTCATAAAGAGACAGTTGATGATGTTCATTTGTTTAGTGATACTTTATAACTTCAGTGACATCAAAGGATGCATGATTCTGATGTCATTCACCATCAGCTGAGTCTGATTTTAGAAATCATCATCATCATCATCAATGCACAGATTCATGTGATGACACTTTCACATTCATCCTGAACGTGAGCGATACGTCCAGATGAGTCCAGAGCCGCTCTGAGAGAAAAACACGGCCGTTCCTCCAGATCAAATATTTGGATATTGTAAATAATAAAGTCAGAGGAATGTGTTTTCTGCCTCCTGCTGTGCTGACGGGAATCACAGAGAACTTCACTGGAGCTTAAACTCCACAGATATTAAACAGAATGAAGACTTATTATCATTTTCATAAATTAATGTACTATATTTTAAAAATATTTTAATAACAAATAATTATTTTGTAGTTTGGGGGTGATTTCGTAGTGCTAAAAAATATTTACCTCTATTATGCCAATTCTGTTTTTTTTTTAAATCCGAAAATATTTATACTATTTTTCAATTAATGCAATTTTTTAAGAAAAAGTATTTAAAAATCCAGTGACTGGAGGCAGACTGCTGCCATCTGGTGGAAAGACAAAGACTACACAGGGTTATTCAATCCAATTACTTACTTTTATTAGGTTTTACATTTGTATATATTAAGACAATGCCAAAGTTTAGATTTTTTTTTTTTTATGTTGATTTGAAGTGTCAGTTTTTGCATAATTATATTACATGGAGAAAGTATTTTGTTACCTATAATTTAAGTCAAACATCAAAATTCAATTAAAAATGTAAGGAAAAATGTTCGATTCATCTGACTCTGGTCTGATTTCAACCAATTAGTTGAGTGTTCTGGTGCAACTAACCGGTAAACAGTCTCAAGACAACAGCTTTTGTGTGTCCGTCTTGATGTTTTGCAGTTTAACTCTTTCGTTGCTGTGCTTTTTTCCTGCATTGTGGCTGAATGATTGATTTTATTTCATAAATGCCGCTCTGTTGGTCACAACAGTGTGAGAGTATGAGTGTGTGTCTATTGTTCACTCTTAAAACTTGATGTTTTAGCGTTTAACCCCCTCACTGCTGGGTGTGTTTTCATTCATTTTCTATGACAGCCATATAAAGTATACTATTGCAATTTTTTTTGTATGCGTGTTCAAAAAGTGCCACAAAAGTCACCAAGTTTTGTACCATTCTGATAAAATAATAACAATAAAAAATAAAAACGGTCACTTTTCAGCAGTCACTAGTGACCGAATAGCACCAGAGGGTTAAATACAAGTTCATGAGGAAATGAACGACTATAACGTGTTTTTTTGTTTTGTTTTGTTTCACACAGTGAGAGAATGACGCCGAAGCCGATCGGCGGTAAATGAGCCGCTGAACGGCCGTTTGTCAGGATCCGCCGCGTCATATATTTATCAGATATCGATCGCGTTTCCCGCCTCCTCCTTTTCAGCGTTTGATGTCAGTGCTTTTGTCTGTTCGCTCGCATCTCTGGCAATTATTCACTGGCCTGCGATGACTCCCTTAACCTGTTTAATTGCACCAGAGGGTTAAATACAAGTTCATGAGGAAATGAACGACTATAACGTGTTTTTTTGTTTTGTTTTGTTTCACACAGTGAGAGAATGACGCCGAAGCCGATCGGCGGTAAATGAGCCGCTGAACGGCCGTTTGTCAGGATCCGCCGCGTCATATATTTATCAGATATCGATCGCGTTTCCCGCCTCCTCCTTTTCAGCGTTTGATGTCAGTGCTTTTGTCTGTTCGCTCGCGTCTCTGGCAATTATTCACTGGCCTGCGATGACTCCCTTAACCTGTTTAATTGATCTCGGGCGTCCTCCCGCGCCGCCCGCCTCGCATCATTTGGCGCCGTGTTCTTTGTTGTAAACAGCAGCTCATTACACGAAGCGTCCGGCGCTGCCTCGGGACACACGCACACACACGCATGCACGCACGCACTCTCACACACACACACACACACACACACACTCAATCACACACACACTCACAACACTCACTCACACACACACA